ACAATGTTTCACTCGTCACGATGTTTCACTAGTCACGATGTTTCACCCGTCACGATAGAGACTTCTTTTCCTGCACCAGCAGCCTCATCGAGTGAAGGAAAGAGAACAGAATTTCTATATTCTGAATGAAATTGATCCATTTGGAAGTTTCTGGGTAATGGTTGACAACTTTTCCCTGGCAGGGATCATATTCATTCCCGTTCCTTGAATGACAATGTTCAGTTCCTTCAATTGTGTGAGTATATTAGCCTAGCACACCAGTGACGAAATCATTCACCCATTATTTTCAATGACATCAACAACATTACTGCTTTGGTTTCTAAGTCCTTGATTTTGTCTGAATTTCAAAGGTACAAACCTCCTATACAAAAATAACCCGCACATAGAAGAGAGGAGCTTGCGACGACGTTTCGGTCCGACTTGGACCGGTATTGTGCCTTTTTTGGTTATTTACAAACCTCCTACACCGGTACCCATGACTGAGAACATCCAAGGAACTGTGAAAGCAGTGAAACTGAACACGTGTGACGGTACGAGCGAAGATGACAGTGTTGTATATGAATGATATACAGTACACGTACCTACAACATGTACAACTGCGTATCTGTAGCAGCTGGCCCAGTGGCTAGCGCGTCGGTCTGGGGTTGTATGACTCTCTGATCGCGGGTTCTATCCCCACCCGTGATATGGTTTTTTTCCAGTGCTCCAAGTGTAAGGAAGAAAATGGGCACACAACACTAACTTCGAGTGTTTAAAATAAACAGAATTCGTGATGGCAGCAGCAGCAACAACAATATAATCAAAGTCTTCCATAAACATAATACTTTGAATTAATCAGTGTTTCTCGTGCCCACAGCTGATCTTTTTTCCACACCCCAGGGGGATATTACAATTCCCAGGGAGCACTTTTACCCTGGGTTAGGAACCACTGGTTTAGGGAAAATACCTTTAAATGGAGATAAGAAGGTTGGCTTGATGCTGGTGAAGGTCTATTGATACATGCAATTAAAGCTATCCACTCGTTTCTGGGATCAAAATTAGATTACCTCCTATTTTCCTGGAGTTGCATCGCCATTACGGGTTTAACACAGCCTAGTATAGTAATAATGAAATTAATAACGAAAATAAGGAAAATAAAAATAATAATGATAATAAGAAGAAGAAGAATGAAAGAATAATAATTATACTAAAAATAATTATGAAATTAATAATAATATTCGATCGCCTGCTTTCAAATATATTTCTGAACACAGCTGGAGGCAATTTATACAGTATGGTGTATGAAAAAAAAATTGAAAACTGAGAGAAAAAAATATATTTTGATATTTCCAATTAATTTTGATGTTGGACGATAATTAAACATAAATGACTAACGATACAATATATGAAGAGGCAATCACAGCAGCTGGTGAGAGAGAGAGAGAGAGAGAGAGAGAGAGAGAGAGAGAGAGAGAGAGAAAGAGAGAAAGAAAGATGGAGTTCATGGAGGACAGAAACTTCAAACACAGAGACTCTCTGATGAGAAGTATTTCTCTCTAGTAAAAAAAATCTATCCGGAAAAATCTACAAGTGGAAGTAGGTCATGTCGATAGGTTAAGTCAGCGTTGAAGAATTCCCTGCATCAGGATCCTGGCTTGTCTTGCTTTTTCAAGCATTTATATAATATCTGTTAGACACAGCAACATCTTGGAATCTTGATACAGAGAATTCCTCAACACTTGTCTAACCTATCGACATGACCTATTTCCACTAGTGGATTTTTCCACTGGTGTCGCCGCTTCCAACTTCTTCACCTCACTTGCCTCCACTATATAAGCCCCTTCTCAAGACTGATGGGCTGAACACATCTCCAGGCTCAGGGACTGACTACTTCAAACTCCTCCTAATCTTCCACCGTTCTTCCCGGTATTGGACTGATGAAGTCACTACTGGTTGGCGAAACATTTTCCACAATAAAGAGACCCAAATATAGCACAAGTGTCTCGTTCATCAACTTCTCAGTTTTCTACACCGTTCATATAAGTGTTTAACATTCGCCTATCTTTTCCTTGCTTTCTCCTTGTACCATTTTGTACTTATAATGATCTTCCAAGTTACAAGTCAGTTTAAATGTCTCAGATATTTCACATCTAACGCCTGTGATCTTACCTGGAGTTTCCCTGGTCTCAGACCGCGGCTCGGTCTGAGACCAGGCCTCATGGTGGATTAGGGTCTGATCAACCAGGCTGTTACTGCTGGCCTCTTAATTAGTTGTATTATTATCCCATCTGGTTTTATTTTATCCTCCTCACTTTTGTCTTCCTCTGTATGTTATTCCTTCCAAGATTTAGAATTTTGATTCTGAAGTTACTCCATATTTTCACATCGTTGTGTGTAATGGGTAGTTTGATATACTTTGTGTTACTCACAAAATCGATTCCGTGAGTCATGATGGCGGCTGTGAGGGGACTTGAGCTAGAGTTCGTCACGGCCAAGCTGGTAGGAGATTCATCTGTAAAAACTTGCACTTGTGGTCACAGTTGTGCCCCATGCTAACTTCCCTATTGTGTATAAATATACCAGGTTGGATGAATCCTACTGTAGCCAGCTGGACCAGTGGTTAACGCACTGGCCTGGAGTTATTTAGGACTCGCCATGGGTTCAAAACCCACCCGTTTCATGGTGTGCGCTACTCACTCACATCTATGGTGGCTCTGGTGGCCTGGTGGTTAACGCTCTCGCTTCACACGGCGAGGGCCTGGGTTCGATTCCCAGCCAGAGTAGAAACATTGGACGTGTTTCTTTCCACCTGTTGTCTATGTTCCCCATCAGTAAAATGGGTACCTGGGTGTTAGTCGACTGGTGTGGGTCGCATCCTGGGACAATGACCTAAGGAGACCTGGTCACAGACCGGGCCGCGGGGGCGTTGACCCCCGGAACTCTCTCCAGACTCCAGAAACTCTCCAGATCTCCCATCATCTCATCAAAGTTTGCTCTTCTGCAGATGACACCCATCACATGAATGCATATGAGGGTTCATGTTTATTTTGAGTCGAACGAAGTGATCATTGTTTCCCTTCAGACCTCACGTCATTGTAGAAGGTCACAGTCTGTGGTCAGAACGAAATTATTTTGCTACCACGTGTGTCCGACGCGACAGCATGCGTCAGAAAGTAGTCACCAGTCGCATGGGCGGCTGCTAGGTATCTTGTTCCCTCTAATAAGACTGTGACTTTGTGTATTGTTCCAGCCACGGTATTGTGCCTTTTTGTCAGTGGCATTAAAGTAGCCATTTATTGCTATACCAGCGGTATACAATAACGGTAAGTTGATGGGCTGAACACACTAAACCCGGTGTGTTGATGAAGTTACTGGTTGATGAAGTCACTGCCTGGTTGATGAAGTCACTGTCTGGTTGATGAAGTCACTGCCTGGTTGATGTCACTGTCTGGTTGATGAAGTCACTGGTTGATGAAGTTACTGCCTGGTTGATGAAGTCACTGGTTGATGAAGTTACTGCCTGGTTGATGAAGTCACTGCCTGGTTGATGACGTCACTGCCTGGTTGATGAAGTCACTGGTTGATGAAGTCACTGCCTGGTTGAAGTCACTGCCGGTTGATGAAATCACTGGTTGATGAAGTCACTGCTTGGTTGAAGTTAATGGTTGATGCAGTCACTGCCTGGTTGATGAAATCACTGCCTGGTTGATGAAGTCACTGCCTGGTTGATGAAGCCACTGGTTGATGAAGTCACTGCATGGTTGATGAAGTCACTGGTTGATGAAATCACTGCCTTGTTGATGAAGTCACTGCCTGGCTGATGAAGTCACTGTCTGGGCGAAACGTCTATAAACAAGAAATATAAAAAAGTCACAACACCCCTGACTGGAACAAAGCTCCAATAACCCGCACATAGGAGAAAGAAACTTGTGACGACGTTTTGGGCCAAGTCTGACCGAAATGTCGCCGTCATAAGTCTCTCTCCTACGTATGGATTATCTGTGTATCGTTGATCAAGAAGACACAGAGATGTCACACGTGTATCTAACTGATCAGCTGTTATGGCCTCTCGCTCGTAACTTCGTTACTCAGAAGAGCCTCAGTTTTCTGGCTCTTGGAGAGCCAGAAAAATGAGTCAGTAATAAATGAGTCAATGAAAGATGAGTCAAGAAAAATGAGTCAGTAATGAGTCAATAATAGATCGGCTGTCTTTAGAGAGCCGATCTATTATTGACTCTTGCTTTAACTTTATCAGGCAAGAGAGCGTAATTTTCCTGGCTTTTTTTTTTTGGGGGGGGGAGAGGGGGAGGGGGAGGGGGACGGGGACGATGATTTACACCGAGTATAATTTGAGAATCATTCCGACACCATTTTTTTTTTTTAAATGAGTACCAGCTTGATTGAAAATTTTGCATCGAGTTAGAGATATCTCTACTGTGAGATAGTTCTCCGGATTAAACCCAAGGTTCCCTCACAGCAATAATAAGTGTGTCTAGGTCACCTGATGTGGATAATCCTATGGTATGTGATGTCCCGCAGCTCGGTTGGTAGCACACTCATCTCGCGCACTGAGTGTCCGTGGTTCGATCCCCGGTACTGGTGGAAACACCGGGCCCTGGTTTCTTAAGACACTTGCTGTCTCTGTTCACCTAGCAACAAGTAGGTACCTGGGTGTTGGCCGACTGGTGTGGGTCGCATCCTGGGGGGACAAAATTAGCCAAGGTGTTGGAAATGCTCAGCATAACCAGGGTCTTTATGGTATGTCATTGATGTCAGCCATGGTCTGTATAAGTTGTATCATGTGCCTGTAGAAATAAAAATTATTATTATAAGAGAGATAGAGAGAGGAAAGGAGAGAAACAAGCGAGAAAGAGGAGAGTTATAGAGAGAGGTGAGAGAGAAAGAGAAAGAGAGAGACTGGCGAGAAAGAGAAGTTATAGAGAGAGGTGAAAGAGAGAGAGAGAGAGAGAGAGAGAGAGAGAGAGAGAGCACCCTGCCAGACGCACGACAACCACCAGGTTGCAGGCACCATCAGTGCTGTACAAGACCTGGTTGAGTGAGGATGTACGTCCGGCCGCTCGGAAACACCTCCGTCTGTGCCCCGACCTCCGCGGATATAACGACCGTTCAGTGCGCTTGTTGTAATTAGCGAAATGCGATGTATTCGCCAGGTAATTCTGCCATGTTCAACCCGGCAATTGACGATGAATCCACCATGGAAATATATTAATTAACATACAAGCAACTGGGGAAATAATGTGTAACTGCCGAAGCTAATTTGGACTGATTATTTTCGGGGAAGAGAGGCCTAATTAAGGCCTCTTCAATTCTAGGTAGGTTGACCTGGCTTTTCGTTATTCTATTTTGCCATCATCTGTATGATTTATCTTCTTTCTTTCTTTCTGTTTAAAGATATCTTGGTAAAAATAGTGTAATATCAGCGAGGAGTCTATTTCTGTTTGCCGCCTCCGCTGCTTAGAGGCTCTTGGTCCGAGGAATCGGAGCATTGCTTCTCTTCCTCCTCGGACTGAACCCGATTGTCTCCTACTCCCCAGGCACTGCATGACCCCCTTCGAGTTTAGTGCTTCCCTGTGATTATAATTATAACACTAATAATAATAATTGTTATGTATTACAACTTAAAAACAAAATGTCTATAATAAACATTTTTACATTAAAAAAAATTCTCGGGGAATTTTAAAATATTCTGACATTTTTTTTTGACTCGAAACTGAAAAAAAAAATTGCCTAGTAAATCACAATTCATTTTTTTAATATATACAAATCTTTCTCGACTTTGACTGAAGGACATCGATTTTTTTTCCAGTACAAGAAATCTGATATAAATTTTGACAATTTTGTCTGATTTTTTTTTTTTTAATTTTTAACTCTACATAAATGACCATAATTTTTAAAAGGGGTGGACCGGTAAGCCAGCGGAAGGCCTCGGTCAGATGACCAAAAGCTCCAAAGGCGGGTCATCATCTGACTAAGACCCGCGTCAGGAAACATTTGTCCTGTTTCCTGACGAACCTTACCTAACCTAACCTAACTCTACATGTTAACCAAGTTTGGTCATTATTTTGTGTGTGATGGTTTTGGTTCTGTTGAGGGGCTCTTGATCCTAGGAATTGGGAGCTACCACGCCCTGCCTTGGCTTAACCACGACGCCACGACGGTGCTCTGACCACTGCACCATTGCGTCTCGTCGCCTGTTGAGTGATGGTCGTGTATATTTGTACGTTTCTGGGGTGTAGTGTGCGAGGGTCGTGTATATTTGTGTTTCTGGGGTGTAGTGCGCGAGGGTCGTGTATATTTGTACGTTTCTGGGGTGTATTGCGCGAGGTCGTGTGTATTTGTACGTTTTCTGGGTAGATGCGCGAGGGTCGTGTGTATTTGTACGTTTCTGGGGTGTAGTGCGCGAGGGTCGTGTATATTTGTACGTTTCTGGGGTGTAGTGCGCGAGGGTCGTGTATATTTGTACGTTTCTGGGGTGTAGTGCGCGAGGGTCGTGTGTATTTGTACGTTTCTGGGGTGTAGTTTTCCAGAGTCGTGTATTTGTACGTTTCTGGGGTGTAGTGTGCGAGAGTCGTGCGGATTTGTATGTTTCTGGGGTGTAGTGTGCGAGAGTCGTGTATATTTGTACGTTTCTGGGGTGTAGTTTTCCAGAGTCGTGTATATTTGTACGTTTCTGGGGTGTAGTGTGCCAAGTCGTGTATATTTAGTTTTTTTTTTTACGTCTCTGGGGTGTAGTGCGCGAGGGTCGTGTATATTTGTACGTTTCTGGGGTGTAGTGCGCGAGGGTCGTGTGTATTTGTACGTTTCTGGGGTGTAGTTTTCCAGAGTCGTGTATCTGTACGTTTCTGGGGTGTAGTGTGCCAGAGTCGTGTATATTTGTACGTTTCTGGGGTGTAATGTGCGAGAGTCATGTATATTTGTACGTTTCTGGGGTGTAGTGTGCGAGAGTCGTGTATATTTGTACGTTTCTGGGGTGTAGTGTGCGAGAGTCGTGCGGATTTGTATGTTTCTGGGGTGTAGTGTGCGAGAGTCGTGTATATTTGTACGTTTCTGGGGTGTAGTGTGCGAGGATCGTGCGGATTTGTATGTTTCTGGTGTGTAGTGTGCGAGAGTCGTGCGGATTTGTATGTTTCTGGGGGGGTAGTGTGCGAGGGTCGTGTATATTTGTACGTTTCTGGGGTGTAGTGTGCGAGAGTCGTGCGGATTTGTATGTTTCCGGGGTGTAGTGTGCGAGAGTCGTGTATATTTTTACGTTATTGAGGTTTAATGTGCGAGAGTCGTGTATATTTGTACGTTTCTGGGGTGTAGTGCGCGAGGGTTGTGTATATTTGTACGTTTCTGGGGTGTAGTGCGCGAGAGTCGTGCGGATTTGTATGTTTCTGGGGTGCAGTGTGCGAGAGTCGTGCAGAGTTGTACGGATCCTTGGCGTGCTAGACGTGTTGAAGGTTGAATTCATCTGCCGCCTCAAGCGTTGGATTCATCATCTTTATTGATGAATGAGACCCTTGTACAGTATTTGGGTATCTTTATTCTGGAAACTTTTCGCCAGGTGTTGGCTTCTTCAGTCAAATACAGACAACGGTGGAAGATGAGGAGTTTGAGGTAATCAGTCCCTCAGCCTGGATTCGTTGTGTTCAGTCAATATGCTGCACAAATTTGATTAAGACTGATGGACTGAACACAGACTCCAGGCTGAGGGACTGATTACCTCAAACTACTCATCATCCATCGTTATCTGAATTGGACTGAAGAAGCTACTGGCTGACGTAACGTTTCCAGAATAAAGATACCTAAATGTTGCATAAGTCTCTCATTAATCAACTTGTCGGTTTTCTAAACCATTTATTAAAGAATCATCTTTATTCATCATTTCGCCTTCTTATTCTCTTTCCCTGTCGTATTTTTCCTTCTTCCTCTCCCTATCCTCTTTTCTTTTCTTTTTCTATCGTATTTCCCCGTCCTTCACCCTCTCTTTATCCTCTTTTCTCTTCCTTCTTTTTCTCCCTTTCCTTCCTTTACTTTTCGTTTCCGCTCTCCCTTTCTTAATCATCTTTTTCCTCTGTCCTCTTTTCTCTTCTCAATTTCCTCTCCTTCCCTCTTTCTTTCCCCTGTTTAAAATATATATTTTCGTTTTTTTAAACCCTTTTCCCCACAATAAGAGGAAACCCTTGGTTGGCTAGAACGAAAATCAACCTGTACTTAAAATGTGAAATTCCTTTTAAACTCTTTTGCCGAGAAGTCCCTGAGACGGGGACGAAAGGGGTTTGGAATTCGCCTCTTTTCATTTTTGGCTAGTCTAAAATTTCACTCGACAAAGGGAAGTCCAAAACTTGAATCAGCAAATGAGATTTTTTTACTAAAATTTTTTTATGCTGGATATCAATAACTTTCAAATTATATTTTAAAATAAATATATATTATATATATAAAATATAAAATATATATTTTATATATATATATATATATATTTTTTAAAATAATATATATTTTAAAGTGCCCCCGAAAAAAAGAGGGTTTTTGGGGTCAAAACAAAAACTTTCACTAGCCAAGGATCGAACCCATGCGTTTTGGCCCTCCCTTTTGGTGAAACGAAAAAGCATTTAAAGCCTCAGACCACTAGCCAAACAATCCGGGGTTTTTGGATCTAGGGTTTTAAAGGGGTCATGCGTTTTCGCCACCTTTAGGGGGGTCAAAACGCATGGGTTTTTACTCCTTGGCTACTCCAGTGCTTTTTTTTAATTACAAATTTTATATATATTATAAAATTTTAAATATATATTTATATATATATAATTTTATATATATATATATTTATATATATAAATATATAAATTTTATATTTTAATGTGTGTATGGGATATCCACGAAGGGGAAATGAAAATATCACCCAAAGCAAAATAGCCCTGTGTAAGTTAAACGAAATTCCAAACCCCTTTCCGTGACTTCTCACTTTTTCAAAGGGAAAAATTTAAAAAAAAACATCAACAAGGGAAAGGGACCCGAAGGGGGAAGAAACCCCGACTGTGAGGTGTAGTCGTACCCTTTTATGCATTTCTGTTTGAATTTTTTTTTATAGTTCTTTTTGATTTTGTGAAATTTACGGAAGCGCTTTTAAAAATTTTGCTTTTCTTTTTGCAATGGCTGTTTCGGGTTATATATAATTTTATATATATATATTTTTATATATTAGAAAAAAAAAAAAAAAAATTTAAAAAAAAAAAAAAAAAAAAAAAAAAAAAAAAAAAAAAAAAAATAAAAAAAAAAAAAAAAAAAAAAAAAAAAAAAAAAAAAAAAAAAAAAAAAAAAAAAAAAAAAAAAAAAAAATTAAAAAAAAAAAAAAAAAAAAAAAAAAAAAAAAAAAAAAAAAAAAAACCCAAAAAAAAAAAAAAAAAAAAAAAAAAAAAAAAAAAAAAAAACCAAAAAAAAAAAAAAAAAAAAAAAAAAAAAAAAAAAAAAAAAAGGGGGGGTTTTTACAAAAAAAAAAAAAACCCCCCAAAAAACCCCCCCAAACCCCCCCAAAACCCAAAAACCCCCCCCCAAAAAAAAAACTAAAAATTTCCCCCCCCCCCCCAAAAAAACCCCCCCCCAACCAAAACCCCCCCGCCCAAAAAAAATTTTTTTTTCCCCCTCAAAACCCCATAAGCCCAAAAAACCAAACCCTCCACAAAACTTCTAAAAAAAAAACCAAAAAAAAACCACAGGCATTTTAAAACCAAAAAACCCCCCCAAAACCCCCCCCCCCCCCCAAACCCCCACCAAAACCCCAAAACCAAAAACATTTTTAAACCGGGAAAACCACACACAAAATTTCTAAACCAACACTTTAACCGGAAACCACACCAAACTTCAAAAACCCAGACATTTTAAACCAACCCAACACAACCTAATAACCCAACATTTTTAAACCAAAACCACAGGCACGGAAAGCCGAAACACAGGCCTTGGGCCGGAAAAACCCATAAAATTTCACAAACCCCCGGGATAACCACTTTTTTCCCTTTTAAACTAATAATTCAAAACCAGCTTTTAAACTCCCCCCCCAATCATTTTAAATTTTCGTGAAACCCAAGGCATTTTAACTTCTAAACCTTCTTTTCCTTTAAGTTCGGTCCACGACAGCGAAGCCGAAACCTTTTTTTTGTCGTTTTGTAAACCGGATCCCCAAAGGCGGGGTTTAAACTTCGTGTAACCATAGTTGTACTTTGGGTTTGTTAACCATCGTTTCAGCTTGAAAGCTTCGTGATAACCTCGGGAGGTAAGTTTTGGAAACCTTCTTGATTTTTAAAGCTTTCTTTAAACCCAGTTTCAGCTTTAA